CCCGGCCACACAGCCGCTCCCCGCCACGGTACGCGCCTCCTGGGCCCCGGGCCAGCTCCAGCGCGAAGCTGCGCACGCCCCAGGGGTGCATGGCGCGGGCGGCGCGCACAGCAGGGACGGTGAACCGGAAGGGGGCCAGGCCGGGGATGCAGCTAGGAAGGTGCGCCCTGAGGGTGGCACTGCCAGGCAAGAAGCTTGGCGGCGCACCGCTGGGCGCGTCTGCAAACCGCCGGGCTCGGGGATCCTTCTCGCGGCCACGGTGCCTCCAGTTTCCTCCGGCCTCGGCACACAAGTGCAGGCGCCCAGGGCCCTCCGCCGACTTCCTGGTCCCCGCTCCCGCCCCGTGACGCGCCCGGGCCGCGCGCCCGCCTTGTTGACTTTGCAATCCCCTAGTGGGGCGGGACCTGTTTGTGCAGGGTCGGCACTGTTGAGTCAGAGGCAGGCAGGGACGGATGTGGCGGCGCGGCGTGGGCGGCGGCCACGGGGCTCCATCTTGTGGTCGTGCGCGTCCCTCACCCATTTTACCACCCCAGCCGCCTCCCTTGAGTTCCGCTCGGGTCGTGCCTCTTGGCCTTTGCACTGGCTGTTCTGCTGCCCGGAACGCCCTTCCCCTGATCCACTCTCTCGCCTCCACCCAAGCGCTCCCTCCTGAGCCCCCCAGTCCCTCGGTGGCCTTGTTTATTTCTTTACGACTGTTTTTTTCCCCGTTGTTATGTGCTTACTGGGCCTCCTCCGTCAGACTGGGCTGTCCTCAAGGGTGGGCGCGCGCCCCACCCCCCCTACCCCAACCCTAGGTCCAGGAGCCAGCCCAGCTCTGGGCTGAAGGGTGCCCTCCCACCCTGTAGGGCAGCCCCCTTCCTTCTCCGGACCTCAGTTTCCCCAGCCAGACAGTCATTCACTGGGCACATAATGAGTGCCTGCTGTATACAGGGAACAGGATGTAAATGACCACACAGACTTTTCACCAGAACCCTACCAGGTTAGGATGAGGAAACTGAGGCACAGGGAGGTGACGCTGCCTGCCCAGGGCCACCCAGTGGGGAGCGTTGCAGCTAGGATTCAGTGGGGCTGGTATAAAGCTCTGGATGAGGCTTGTCAACTACTTAATGCCCCCCTCCCCCCATGTTAAGTGATCAGGAGGGAGGGAGCATCTATTGAGCACCAACTGTGTGCCTGACCCTTTTTAGAGTTTCCTAGTTTAATGTATTGTCATCTCCGACCTTACAGATGAGGAAACTGAGGCCTCAAGAGGGGCAGCCTTTGCCCAGTAGCACCTCCCCAGTGGCAGAGCCAGGACTTGAAGCCAGGTCTGGCCTGCATCAGTCACCTCCCAGACCCTTCTCGAGCTGCTTCTTGGTGCCTGGTGCCGCCTGGCTGCTGTATCTCCTTGAGCCAGATGGTCAATGACCTTATTGGGGGCTGCCAGGCCTGAGCTCCCCAGCTGGACCCAGATTCGCCTTTCTGGAGCACCCCCCCCACCTGCCCTCCCCACCCAGGACCCAGCGTTAGCCACTGCTGGGCCTGCCCCCTCTGGGCCTGCCTCCCTCCCTCCTCTGCCTGGCGCACTCCCGTGAGGTCCCTCCCTCCTTGGCCTTGGCCTCCACCTCAATCTGCCTGTTCCCTGCCTAGGGCTGCCCCTCGCTTGTGCCTCCCACCTCAGCCTGCCCTTCCCTGCCCTGGTCTGCCCCTGCCCCCAGCCTGGCCCCACCTGCCCCCCTTCACCTGGTCTGTGCCCCCTCTCACCCCTTGGCCTGGCCCCACTCCCACCTTGGTCCCCATCTCAGCCCCCACCTTGGCCTTCCCCTCCGCCATGCCCCCACCCTGCCTCAGCCTTCACCTCCCTGCCCTGCCCCCTACCTCAGCCTGGTCCCCTTAGCCCCAGCCTTTTCCCCACATTCGCCTTTCCCCCTGCCTTACTCCCACCTCAGCCTGGCCCCAGCACCCCACATCCAAGGTCTGGAGGGACCTTTCTGATTCCACGTATGTCAGGAGCCCTCCTGCTTGCCTGCCCCAGAGGGTATCTCTAATCCCAGGATCCCCCCACATCCCTCTGCTCACAAACCCCTCCATGGGGTGCCCACCAACGAGTCTATATTCTTGACTTTGATTCGTGGTCCGTCAGTTTGAACCCTGGTTCCAACACTCTCCACTGGGTGGCCCCGGGCAGGCAGCTTCAGGGCCCTGTGCCTCAGCTTCCCTATCCCAACCTGGGCAAGTTCTGGTGAAGACCATGTGGTCCTTTACATCCTGTTCCCTGTATATAGCAGGCACTCAATATGTGTCCAGAGAAGGGCCAAATGTCCCCTCACCTTCCCCACTGGACCCTGAGTCACCAGTGGGGGCTCCATCAATGACAGCAGGGCAAAGGGAGAGAAGGAGGGGTGTTTCGATTATCGGGCACCTCCTGGGAGCCCGGCTGGCACACCCATCCTCAGGGAGCTGTCCCCAGCTGAGCCTGGGCCTGGGGCCGCCAGGGCTGGGATGGTGATGGGGACAGGCTTAGGGGACTCCCTGGACTCCCACGGCTGTTCTGGGCCTCTGGGTCAGGACGTCCACCTCCTGGGGGGTAATTGCGCTCCCCCCACTCCACCACATACAATAGGCAGCAACTTGGGGTCCTGGTTTATTCAGAATTGGCAAGGACCCACCCCAACTGCTTCTTGCCCACTGGGGGCCAGGGGACCGGGAAAGCTCCCAGCCTCCCCCCTGTCCCAGCAGGGTGGAAGTGGGTGGGCCTGGGGGTGCGAGGGACCCCAGGCCACACAGCCTGACTCAGGTGCGGCTTCTTGCTCTCCTGGAGGTGCCGCTGGACAGGGCCCCTGGGCAGTGTGGAGGCAGCGGCCACACGATGGCCAAGATTTGGGGTCTGGTGGCGGGCAGGTCCGTCACCCGCAGTCCGAGGAGGTCGCAGGTGGCCACCAGCTCGAGGGACTCCAGGCAGCCGGGGCTGGGGGCCCAGGGCCAGGCCGGGGTGGCAGGGGCGGCGGCGGCGGGTGTATGGCTTGGGCGACAAGGTCAGGCAGGGCCTGCAGGGAGGCGGCCAGCGCGTCCAGGCGGCTCTCCAAAGCGGCCAGGCGGGTCTCCAGGTCCTCATGCTGGGCATGCAGCTCGGCCACTAGGTCATACATGACACTTTGGGTCTGCAAGAGGTGGACGGGAGATGGAGAGTGAGGGAGACAGACACAGAGATGGGTGGAGAGCCTTGGTTGGGTTGGGGGGTCCTAAGGGTGACTGTGAGGCTGGACTAACCCTAGCCCTAACCCTAACTCTAGCCCTAGCTCTAACACTAACTGAGCTAACTCTACTCCAAGCCCAAACCCTAACCCTAGCCCTTATTGGGAAACCCTAAACCTAACCCTGCAGGTCTGAAGTCCAGGGAATGGCGGGAGAAAGGGCAAGGGGAGAAAGGGGCCTTGAATGCCAGGGTCAGGGCCAGCAGGTCTGGGGGAGGCCAAAAGGGGTCTGGGGGGTGGACGTGGCCAGAGTCTCCTGGGGGGATGAACTGGTCACACGGTGTACCCTAGTCAAGGGTTCACCAGATCCGGGATGGGGGGGTCCCCACACATTGAGAGGGGTCTCCCTACCGCACCTCTAAATGGAAAGTCCCCAGCCTGCAGCAGGGAGCTCCCACATCCTGGGAAGGGGGTCATGGTCCTGTAGGTGACACCCAGATCCTGGGAGGAGAGTCCCAGATGAGGGGTCCTGGCCAAGGGGCTGGTCCTGGTGGGGCGATGTCTTCACCTCCGGCCCCTGGGGTAGGTTCTGGGCTGATCTGGCTCCAGGAGGGGAATAGCGGGGGATGGCAGGGGCTCGGGGACATGGTTGAGTAGGAGGAGGTCAGGGGACCCTGGATCAGTTGTGAGTTGTCCCCCTATCCTACATTTGGCTGAGGCGGGGACAGGGAGTCTGACTGGGGAGGTGGCAGCCCTGAGGCCCAGACCCAAGCACAGACCAGGGGCTTGGCCCAGCCCCATCAACCACCACCATCACCACAATCACTCCTGCGGCTGTGGTTGGGATGTCCCCACCACCTCCACTGTCCCCATGACCCAACAAATAGGGGCCTGTTGGGGGGGGTGGGGAGGCAGAGGGAGAGACCCGGACCAGGGAGGAGCCCTTGGAGATGCCATTCACTGCCACCAGGTGGCAGAAGAATGACACTCCAGGTCTCCGGCCAACTGATCCAGCCCTGTAGGCTGAAGGGGTGGGCAGGGCTCAGATTAGGGTAAACCCCTCAACAGTCACCTTGAAAAAGGGGTTCAGGAAACCTCGCCCTATCCTGACACCTCATGGACCCAGGAAATCACCCTCTCAACACCCCACTGGGTGGGAGGGAACTTGGACAGGGACTAGACACCCCACTCCACACAGCTCCTTCCCCTGCCGCTGGGGCAGGTGCCATGCCTTTGCCTGGCCGTGACCCCCCCTCCTACTTCCCAGCTGACCCCAACTCGGGTGGGCACTCGCTGAGGTACCCTGCGAGCCCCTCACAGGCTGCTGACCCTCAGCCCAGCCTGTGACATGTGACACAGCCCTGAGGGCCCGAGGGTGACTTCTGGAGGCCTGGGGCGGCATCCAGCATCCGACGGCTCTGTTAGGCCCTCTCTGAGGTTTAACTTTTTGAAAAAGCAGCTGCTAATGTTAAAAAAAAAATAATACACACAGGTAGATTTCTGGAGTCGCTGGAGTCACAGGGGACCCCTGCAGAGAGAGTCTGTGTTCCTGGGTGGCCCATCCCCACCTGTGTCACCTGCCTGCTCTGTGGGTGCCAGCATTGCCCCTCCCTCATCACCTACTGGCCCCTGAGGCACCTGCTTCACCTGCCTGCCGGCTCACCTTGGCCAGGTCAGTGAGCGTGTTGGCCTGGTCATTCAGCTTCCGCTGCTCCATCTTCACACTCCGCAGCCTGGGAACACGTGGGTGGGTGGGGTCAGAGGGAACCCACAGCTGGGGGATGGGGGTCCTTCATGCACCCACCCGGGGTCACTTTGTGGAACATGCAGGGAGGGATGAGGTGGAGTCAGGGACCGGGCCCCCTGTGGCCCTTTCCCTCCACCCAGTAAGGCACGCTGTGGGCAGCCGGGCCTGGGGGCCACTACAAGACCCTCAGGCCCAGCCCAACACAGGAACTTGGATCCCCAGACACAAGGGGGAGCTCATGCTGACCTCCAGGGTGGGCATGAGCCTGCTTGCTCTGGAGGCCAGGGGGCGCCCCCGAACTGCCCGATGTGCCCCCTGATCACCATGCACCCCCAGCTCCCTGCCTGAGCCCCTGGAGGACACTTACTTCTGAGCCCTGACAGGTCCCGGCAGAGCAGAGAAACCACAAGTCAATTTTAATCTCAGTGCAGCCAGCAGCACATGCCAGACCCCTGCCCACCTCCCGCCTGAGCCCCGAGAGCAGGGCTGGGCCCTGGATGGTGTGAGGGTGCCACCCTGCTCTGGAGAGGGGCCTGGCCTTTGAGGGTGCCAGTCCCTTGGGGACACAGCGGTCCTCTGTGCCCTCCCTTTAGCTATCATGTCCCCCACCCCAGTCCTGACTGGGACAACTGCAGCTGCCCTCAGCTCTGTGTCCCCAGATGGGACAAGATGGGGGAGCTGGAACCTCGTGAGCTCCCACGGGGTGATGGACACCTGGTCCTCAAGGTGGGAAAATTTAGTCCAGAAAACTCCGCCCCTGCTGCTTACTGAGGGGGAAACCGAAGCTCAGAGGTGTGAAGGCAGTGGCAGGATTTGAACCTGCACCTGCCACTCTGGCCTCGGCCCTGGACAGCTGCCCATGGGGGAAGGTGATGTGTCCTGCCCCTCCTGCCATCTCTTCTGTAGCTAAAGTGGCCTGGGGGACCATTTCAAGCAGGACTCATCCCACATGTCCCAACCCTCACCCATCCAAGCTCAACCCCTGTGCTACCATGTGTGACAGGCACCCAGAATGGCCCCTAGGTGCCCACCCCTGAGATGATCCAGCACTCGGCCTAGCCCCATGGGGATCCCCAGTCTGGAGAGACACAGCAATACACAGACACCCCCAGCCCCATGGTTCAGAGCTGGGCAGGAGGAAGGGTTGGGGGCTGAGGGCTGGGGGTGCCCTGGAGGGGTGAGGAGGCCTGCTAGGAGCCCTGATATGTCCTTCCCTGGGGAAATTCTTCTTGGCTTGTCTGGAAATCCCAAACCCATGCTGTACCCCTCAATCTACCCTCTCGACCCCCAAACCCATGCTGTGCCCCTCGATCCACCCTCTTGGGGACCGCTTCTTCATTGGCTGTTTATACAGTGTTCCCATCATGGAGACTCTCCAACTCAAGAACCTACCATGGCTCCCTGGCACTATGCCGATTACCACCTTCCTGCCTTTGCCCTGATCATGACCCAGACTACTTGGTATGCCTTTGCATCTGTCAGTTTTCAACACAAATACTATCTACCCCTCAGGCCCTGCATAAAATTTGCTTCATTTTGTCAGCTGTTCTTATGGGGTTACTTTGGGGGGGGGGCAGCAAAGGGACCTAAAGATGAGTGAGACAGTCTCTGCCCCAGGTCAAAGGGATACAGGTAACCCAGAGCAGGAGACTCTCCCCAGATTCACCTCATCTCCTCAATTCCCACCCTCCCACCTCCCTCAGAGAACCTTCCAGAAACATCTCTTGGGGTGAGGTTCAGGGCAGGAAATGTCTGTGTCTCCCATGACTGGCATACTGGCCAGTATAGGCAATGCTTGTGAAAATGACCGAATGAGCATATCAAGGGGGAAACCAAGGCCCATTCTTATTTTCAGACAATACTATGCAGCAGGTATAGGTGAGGCACCTAGTTACCCCAATCCTATTGGAAACACATCCTACTTCTAGAGAGGAGACATGTTACTGCCTTGGGGTCTGGTGAAGTAGGACTGATACCTGGGCACAAAGAAGTCAGATAAGTGGGATGCCAGTCTCTCCTTGCTTTTTCGGGGATTGTAGAAACAAAGGCAGGGAGTAGGGGTTTGGGGTGCTGTTTTACCAAGCAATTGTTATGTGCTGGGGACCATGTGAGGCATATTCTACATTATCATGTTTAAACCTCCCCACAGTCCTATGAAGTAGGTATTATTATCATTAGAAATAAATCCAATTATAACAGCAAATACAATAAATGTAAATGGACTAAACGCTCCATTTAAAAGACAAAGATGGTAAGGGGTGATGGATCTATTTATTATCTTAACTGTGGTGATAGTTTTACAGGTGTAATCATATGTTACAATGTATCATATGTGCAGTTTACTGCATGTCAATTATACCTTGATAAAGCTGATTTCTTAAAGACAAAGATGATTAAACAGGATTAAAAAAAAATGCAGCTAGCTGAGTGTCCTTTCCCCATGGCCCATTCTCCCCTGTGGTCAGGCTGCTTTACCCTCTGATGCCCCAAGGGCCAGGGACCCTAAGCCTCTGTCCCAGCTGCTCTCTTCCAACCCAGCCTCCCACCTCCACCACTTACATAGGGTCCTGCTTGCATCCCAGCATCTACTATAACTGGTGTTGGGTGTGGCCCAGAGAGTAGGATTTTAAAAAACTCCCCAAGTTACCCTAATGAACAATCAAAGAGGAGACCCACTTGATTACATGATACTCAGGACAAAGGGACAACAGAGGAAATTAGTAATTTCTAATTACCCCACATGGTGACATGGATCAGGTCACAAATTTAACTCTAGCTCCCTGACAACCAAAGCAAAAAGGGGAAGTTACTTCATAGTCTAAGAGGTAAAAACCATTATGGTTACTCCAGAGGATAAAATATGCTTCCTGTCACTACAGGATCACTATGAGTCGGAATCAACTTTGATGACAATAGGTTTGGTCCCTTAGATTGGGTGACTTCCATGACTTATTTGAAGCAATTATTCTAGGCCTCCCTCTGACCAGAAACCTGGCCGGCCTGACCCCTGGCCCCATCATTCTACCCAGCACAGAAGCTACAGGTCCCAACCAACTGACCACCTAGCCTAGGGGGGCCATGACAGGGCCACAGTGAGTTGCCTGGCCTGGCCCAAGGCCTCCTCCCAGGGGCCAAGGCTGCCTCCGTTCTGGGTGGGCACAGAAACGTGAGTGGGAAGGGGCAAAACTTACTGATGGATGGCTTGGAGGAACTTACGCTGGTGTTTCCGAACCCGGGCATGATCTGGCTTCTTCATCAGCCTGGTGTGTTTGTAGATGAGCCATGTCTCCCTGAGAACGTTAGCAGCGGCGTTTTTCACCTGAGACCGGAAAAGAAAAGTTTTCCAGGATAAGCGTTGTACTGGGTTAGTGTTCCCCAAAAATTCATGTCCACCCAGAATCTTAGAATGTGACCTTAGTTGGAAGCAGGGTCTTTGTAGACGTAATTAGTTAAGATGAGGCTATAGTGGATTAGGGTGGGTCCAAGGTCCCTGAGTGGCAAAAATGGTTTGTGCTTGACTACTTACCTAAAAGTTGGCACTTCGAATGCACCCAGTGGCACTTTGGAAGAAAGACTTGGCAATCTGCTTCTGTAAAGATCACAGCCCAGAAAACCTATGGAGCAGTTCTACTCTATAACACATGGGGTCACCATGAGTCGGAATCCACTCAACAGAAATGGGTTTTGTTTTGTTTTTTTGGTTCTAAGTCCAATGACTGATGTGCTTATAAGACAGCCATGTGATGATGGAGGCAGAGATTGGAGTGATGCTGCCACAAACTAAGTGACAGCAAGGGAGCCACCAGAATCAAGGAGAGAGGCATGGAATGGATTCTCCCTCAGAGCCTCCAGAAGGAACCAACATTTCTGATACCTTGTGTATGAGTTTCCAGGGGCTGTTGTAAAGAAGTATCACAAGCTGGGTGGCTTATAAGAACAGAAATTTATTCTCTCATGGTTCTGGAGACCAGAAGTCCAAATTCAGGCTGTCAGCAGAGCCATGCTCTGAAGGATCTAAGGGAAGATCCTTTCTTGTCTCTCCCAGCTTCTGGTACTCCAGGCATTCCTTGGCTTGTAGCTGCAGCATAACTCAAACTTCACATAGAGGGGTTTCCCTCTGTCTCGCTGTGTCTCTTCTCTTTTATAAGGACCCACTCAGATGGGATTAGGAGCCCCTCTCCTCCAGTATGACCTCATGTTAACCTAACTGATAACATCTTCAAAGACTCTATTTCCAAACAAGGTCACGTTCACAGGGACCAGGGTTTAGAACTTCATATCTTGTTAGGGGACACAATTCAATCCATACCCTACTGCCATCTGGTCGATTCCGACTCATAGCAAAGGATGGAGTAAAACTGCTCCGTAGGGTTTCCAAGGCTGTAATCTTTACGGAAGCAGACTGCCATATCTTTCTCCCGTGGAGTGGCTGGTGAGTTCAAACTGCCAACCTTTCGGTTAGCAGCCGATCGCTTAACCACTGTGCCACCAGTGTTCAGTATTCAATCCATCACATCTTGATTTTCAATTCCCAGCCTCCAGAACTATGAGAGAAGAAATTTCTGTTGTTTTAAGCCACCCAGTATGTGTGATAATTTGTTACAGCAGCTCAAGTAAACTAATATATACATGAAACTCCAGACAGCACCAGAAATTTCCAGAAAGCTCTGGAAACTCCTGGAAAGCTCCAAGACTGTGCAGGCTGGGATGTGTTTGAACGTCTACACCCTTGTGGTGGGTGTGTTCCTAACACACTTATGTCTGCTCACCATGGGCCAGGCCTCCTCCATGCCACACACACATGAATTCTATGAATCTGCACACATTGCTATCACCATCACTTTGTACATGGGTAAACTGAGGCACAGAGCAGTCAGCTTGCCCCCTCCACACCTCACACACAAGAATTCTGTGAATCTGCACACACTGCTGTCACCCTCGTTTTGTACATGGGGAAACTGAGGCAGTGGCCCTAGAGTCTATGCCCCTTGCTATGTGGCCACACTTCAGCATTCCTGGGCCACTGGAGGGCGCCTGGCCATCTCTGAGTCTCTCCGTGCACCACACAGGCATGCCCAGCGTGTGCAGAGGAAGGCAGCAGGGTTCACCCCTGCAGGTGAGGAGATAGGGTCCTTACCCGCTTGTTGAGCTGTGTGTCCATCATGAAGTTGTGGACATGTTTCTCGGCCTTGGTGAGCTCCAGCTTCCGGGCCACCACGGCCACCACGAGCGCCGTGCAGCCGGCCCCCTGCATGCAGAGGGTGGGTGCACATCAATGTCCTGCCCTGACCTGAGGTCCTCCCAGGCCGAAGGTAGGACATCCCCTCCTCCAGGAAGCCTGCCCTGATTCCACCCTGCACCTGGTGTCTGTTATGTATTAAATTGTGTCCCCCAAAAATATGTGTTGTGAATGCTAACCCCTATAATTACCTGTGGAAAAGGAGCCCTGGTGGTACAGTGGTTAAGCACAGAGCTGCTAATCGAAAGGTCAGTGGTTCAAATCCACCAGTCACTCCATGGAAGAAAGATGTGGCAGTCTGCTTCCATAAAGATTATAGCCTTGGAAACCATGTGAGGCAGTTCTACTCTGTCCTACAGGGTCGCTATGAGTCAGAATCAACTCAATAGCAACAGGTTTATACCTGTGGATAAGGAGCTCTGGTGTGCAATGGTTAAGTGCTTGGTTGCTGACCAAAAGGCTGGTGGTTCAAAGGATAAGGAAGGACACTATATAATGATTAAAAGGTCAGTACACCAGGAAGACATAACCATAATAAATATTTACGTACCCAGGGCTCCAAAATACAGAAGACAATCTATAACAGCAGTGAAAAGAGAGACAGACAGCTCCACAATAATAGTAGGAGACTTCAACACACCACTTTCGGTGAAGGCCAGAACATCCAGAAAGAAGCTCAATAAAGACAAGGAAGATCTAAATGCCACAGTCAACCAACTTGATTTCACAGACGTGTACAAAACGTTGGTGGTTCAAACCCACCCAATAGCTCTGAGGGAGAAAAGCCCTGGTGATCTGCTCCCATGAAAATTAAACCAAAAACCTAACTCACTGCTGTTGCCTTTGGAAGCAGACTGCCAGGCCTGTCTTCTGAGGTGTCTCTGGGTGAACTTTGAACCACCAACCTTCCGGCTAGTAGTTGCGCATTTAACTGTTTGTGCCACATGGAGTTGCCATGAGTCAGCACTGAGTCAATGGCAACTAACAACAACTATATAGACGTGGAAGCAGGTGAGAACAAATGCAGGAAAGATAGGTGCCATGTGGAGATTGCTAAGAAACCAAGGAACACTGGGGTCACAGAAGCTGAGACAAGGATCCTCCCCCAGAGCCGACAGAGAGAGCTTTTCCCCAGAGCCGGTGCCCTGAATTGGGATTTCTAGCTTCCTAAACTGTGAGAAAATAAACGTCTGTTTGTTACAGCCGCCCACTCATGGTGTTTCTGTTACAGCAGCTCTAGAAGACTGAGACCCCTCCACACCCACTGCGTTGGTGGCTCCCCTCCACCGAGTTCCCATAATCCCGGCCACACCTAGCGTCCCCGAGCGCCCTCACCATGATGCCAGTGAGCAGGCAGACGCCCTTCCCGCAGTAGGTGTGGGGCACCATGTCACCATAGCCGATGGAGAGGAAGGTGATGGAGATGAGCCACATGGCGCCTAGGAAGTTGCTGGTGACCTCCTGCTTGTCGTGGTACCTGGGGGAGATAAGGAGAGTGCAGTCAGTCCACACTGGGCCCTATCTTCATCACGACCCCCAGGGCTGGGGCCAGGACAGTAGAGACCCCAAGTCTGCCTCACACGGTAGGGGCTATGACTGTGGGGAGGGACCAGTCTGGGGGTCAAGGTGAGGAAGGGCACTGCAGGGTGGGGTGGCTGGTCCCAAGACAGCCTTGTCTAGGGCAGCCCCACAGTCCTGGGGCACCCACACCCTCCTCCTCTAACATCCCTCCCACCCTCTCCCTCTGTCTGACCCCCAAGCTGCTGCCCAGGATTATCTGCCCTCCCCAGGGCCCAGATTATGGGGCAGAGAGGGGTCTGGGTGCAGGTACCTATGATCCTTCCTGCACAGACACACACAGACAGATGGGGACATGGGTGGCCAGAGGCGCCAGAAGCAGCAGGGAGTAAGGCGTGAAGGTGAGGATGATTCTGGTCAGACACCAGGAAGTACTTCCCTAGCCAGGGAGGCCCAGAGGACAGAGGAGGACATGGGGAGGCAGAGGCTGGAGGATCACGTCCAGGACTTGGGGAAGGAGGGAAGCCAGGATGCGCCACACTCCCAGTGCCCCAACCCTGGCCTGAGGGTTGGATGGGGGGGGCAGTTCCCCTGGCACCAGGAAAGAACCGGGGCTTCATTTCTGGGATTGAGGTAGGAAGGCCCCAAAGCCTTGAGGGGAATTGACTTTTTCCCGACCACAGAGGGACCTGGACTGGCCTGTTGGGACCCGCCTAGTCTGAATCGGGTCTGGGAGTGGCTGGAGGAGCTGCTCCAGCCTGGCCCCCATTCCGCAAAGGCCCCTCGGAGCCGTCCGGGGAGGCTGGCGAATCTGGCTGGGGGAGGTCAGGGAGTGGGTGACCCCTTGGCCAGCAGAGACCACCTTTGGGGAGTCAGGGTCAGAGATCAGTGGTGGGGGACACAAAAGAGGCAGGGGGAGTGGGAGTGGGAGTGGGGGAGGGTTGTGCCAACAGGTGATAGCTACACCTATGGCCCCTGGGGCCAGGCTGGAGCCAGGGCTCAAGATGGGACAGAGACTGCCGGCCCCAGTGCGGGTGGAAGCCCCCTCAGCAGGTCTGCTATTTGAGGGAATCCCCACCTCTGGGGGAGTCAAATGCCATTACCAGCACCCCAGCCTGGGCTTCTAGGCCGGTCGCCGAGTGGGGGCCAGGGGCTGAACGCTGTTTCACACCAAGGCATCCAAGGTGGGCTGGAGCTCTGGTGGGTGGTGCCTAGGGGCAGGAGGGGGGCATGCAGGAGGCAGGGGTGGCATGGGACAAGAACTGCAGGGGTGGAGCGAGGCAGGTGGGGCTTAATGCATTACAGGGCTCAGAATTTAGGATTGGCTGCCCGCCATCCCTGCTTATGCCCACCACCGCAATGGCCTGGCCTGGAACCACAGTGATGCCTTACAAGTATGACCCCAAACCCGACCTGTCCTGGCAGGAGGGTGGTGACTCCCAGACCCTAAGCCTTGATCCCGGGAGGAGCCAGGTCCTCTGCCTGTGAGCCCAACATCAGGTGGTAGGGGAGATTTCAGGAGGGGCTGAAGGGGTGCTGGGGCAGGGCCAGTCCAGGGACCCCCAGGAACCTCAGTCCCAACACCACCTGCCTCAGGCCCTCGCCGAGTGAGACCCTCTCTCCACAAGCTGCTCCTGCACCCTGTGAGGCCAGCTGGGCCCCGGCCTCTCCTGAAGCTCTTAGGGGTCTCTGGAAAAAGCTCTCAGGGAAGGCACCTTGCTTCTCTCTGAGCCTCAGTTTCCTCATCTGTAAGCTGGGTCTGCTCAGAACCAACTCCAAGATGTCCTGAAGACAGGGCCAGTCTTATTCACCCTCGACCCTTTTCATTTGCAGGAGAAGACCCTGGACCCTGGAGTCAGCTGCCCCAACAAAGCCCTAAGCCCTTCCGGAAAGGCCGACTCTGTCCTCCTCCGGCCCTGTCTCCCTTTGAAGCTTAGCAGGATACATAGCACCCGGGGCGGCCTGCCTCCCACCATCCAGGCCAAGACCCCAGACCTGGGCCCAGCATGCTGGGGGTCCCCCTCAGCCCCTAGCCTCAGGTAGCTCCTGGCCCAGCTCTGCTCCTGTCCCTGTCCCCCTCTGTGGCAGCTAATCTTAAATTCCTGGCAGGCAGGTGGGCGGTGGTGGCAACTCTGCACGTGGCTGAGATGGGACTCACATGTTTTCCCTATGTCCGCGGCGGGCAGGGGAGAAGGAGAGCAGGTTACACGTGGGGGCGGGGAGGGCACGTCCCAGTTCCTGCCACTGCCCAGGCCAGAGGTCAGGGGTCAGGGGTTGACCCACAGAGTGGAGGGGCCAGAGAAGTAGAGGCATGAGACCCAGGGGGTGGGGGAGGAAGGACTGGGGTCCCAGAGGGTGGTAGGCCACAGGACACAGGCCAGGGGTGGGGGTGGCCAGGGACATAGGGCTGAAGGCCCAGGGGAATGGAAGTGATGGCCCCAGGGTCCCCAAGGTCATGGGCTAGGCAGAGGGGTCACAGGGGTCATGGGATCAGAGACATGGAAGTGATGGCCAGGGGAGCCCCAGCACAGGGTTACCAAGGTCATGAACTGGGTGGGGGAGTCACAGAGGGTCTTGGGGTCAGTGACATGGAAGCAATGGTTGGGAGCCCCAGGTCTCCAAAGTCATGGGCTGGGCAGGGGAGGGGGTCACAGAGGGTTGTGGGTCAGGGAGATAAAAGCAATGGTTGCGGTTACCCCAGGGTCCCTGAGGTTATGAGCTGGGCAGGGGGTCACATGGTTCTTGCCGTCAGGAAGGCAGAAGTGATGGCCCTAGATTCCCTGAGGTCACAGGTGGACACGAGGGTCACTGGAGTCCTAGGGTGATGGCCAGGAAGTCCCAGAGTCACACAGGTCATTGGGGTCAGGGACATGGAAGTGATGGCCCCAGGGTTCCCAAGGTCATGGGCAGGTTAAGGAGGTCCCAGAAGGTCCTAAGGTCAGGGAGATGGAGCCCCGGACATGGAGCCCCAGCCCAGGGTCCCTGAGGTCATGGGCTGCACATGGGTCTCTGGGGCCCCAGGCCAGGGAGACAATGTAGTAGCCAGGAAGCTTCATGTCCTCAAGGTCATGGGCTGGACACAGGGTCACAGGGGTCCTGGGTTAGGGAGATGGACGATGGCTGGGGCAGCCCTGGGACCCTGAGGTCATAGTTGCATATGAGATCCCCAGGGCCCAGGGCCAGGGAGCCGGAGCGGCGGTGGCACACCTCTCGCAGATGCGCACGGTCCAGGCGGCAACGACCCAGGATGAGATGCTGAAGACAAGCAGCACAGTGCCGGGGCAGATGGTCATGAGTGTTTTCATGACAAAGCGTGTGTTGAAGGTGACCTTGTTGAGCGCGCCGATGCTGCGGCTTGAGGCATCTGTGAAGATCTTGCTGTGCAGCAGCATGACACGGCCCAGCAGGTAGAGGCGCAGGAACATGGGGATGGACAGCAGCACATCCACGTCTGCCTCAGCCTCCGACGGCGCGTACGTGAAGGCCAGCCGTGCCGTCCACGTGAAGCGGTAGTGGCCGGGCACCGGGTGCACGGCACACACCACCAGCTCCAGAGAGATAAGCAGCACCCGTTCGCATGTCATCGCAATGCGCCAGTCGTCCGCCCCGTTGTCCACCATGAACAGCTGTGGGGGCCGGGCAGGTGGCAGGTGGGTCTCGGCCCTGCTTCCCCCAAGCGCAAATCCCTCCCAGCCCAGCTTTTTCAAGAGAATTCTCATATGTGACACTCCCTAGTTCTCAACATTGGCCACAATTTGAACTTAAAAGCATTGGGTGGATTGTCCTCAAACCACTAAACATAGAGGCACCGTGTGACCCAGTAATTCTGCTCCTGGGTATGTGCCCAAGAAAAATGAAAACGTATTCACACAGAAACATGTTTATGCATGTTCAGTGCAGCACTATTCACAATAGCCTCAAGCCCCCCTGTAATGGGTTGAATTGTGTCCCTCCAAAATAGGTGTTGTAAATCCTAACCCCTATACGTGTGGGGAGTCCCTGGATGATGCAAGCAGTTAAGCACTTGGGTGCTAACTAAAAGGTTGGGGATTCGAACCTACCCAGAGATGCCTCAAAAGACAGGCCTGGCGATCTGCTTCTGAAAGGTCACAGCCTTGAAAACCCTATGGAGCAGTTCTACTCTGCACACATGGGGTCGCCATGCTTTGGAATCCATTCAACAGCAAACTAACAAAACCAACAATACCTGTGAATGTAATTGTAATCCCATTTGGAATACGGTTTTCTTTGTTATGTTAATTAAGACATATCAGGGTAAGGTATGTCCTAAACCTAACCCTTCTGAGATATAAAAGGAGCAGATTAGGCACAGAGACAAGGAAGCACAAATGAGGGAAAGATAAACGCCATATGGAGATTGCCAAGGAATCCAGGAAGAGAAGCTGAAAAGAGACGACCTTTCCCCAGACCCAATAGAGAAAGCCTTCCCCTACAGCTGGTGCCTTGAATTCAGACTTCTCGATTCCTGAACTGTGAGAAAATAAATTTCTATTTGTTAATGCCACCCACTTGTGGTATTTCTGTTGTAGCAGCACCAGAGAACCAAGACACCTGATAACACAAGATAATTTGAAAGGCTGACTTTTGTAAGAGAAATCAGAAACCGGGTCTCCTTTGGGAAATTCCCTAGTTCTCAGCATCAGCCACAATTCAAACTTAAAAGCACTAGGTAGCATGTCCTCAAATGGTTAAACATAGAGTCACCATGTGACCCAGCAATTCTCCTCCTGGGTTTATGCCCAAGAGAAATGAAAACATGTATCCACACAAAGACTTGTATACATGTTTACAGGAGCACCATTCACACTAGCCAAAAGGTGGAAACAACCAAGTATCCATCAGTAGATGAATGGATAAACACAATATGGTCCATCCACACACTGGAATATTATTCATCCATAAAGAGAAATGAAGTCCTTATCATGCTACAACACGGATGAACCTTGAAAACATTATGCTCAGTGAAAGAAACCAGACACAAAAAGACAAAAATTGTCTGATACCACTTATATGAAATATCTAGAAGAGGCAAATGCATAGAGATAGAAAGTAGATTAGTGGTTGCCTAGGGCTTGGGAAGAGGACCAGTGGTGGCGTAGAGGTAGAATTCTCACTTTCCATGCCGGAGACCAGGGTTTGATTCCCAGCCAATGCACCGTATGCACAGCGACTACCCATCTGTCAGTGTGTGTTGTTATGACGCTGAACAGGTTTCAGCAGAGCTTCCAGACTAAGACAGATAAGGAAGAAAGGCCTGGTGATCGATTTCTGAAACTCTGCCACTAAAAACCCTATGGGTCACAGCAGTCTGGTCCGTAACTGATCGTGGGGATGGTGCAGGACTTGGCAGCGTTTTGTTCTGTTGTGCATGGGGTCCCCACGAGCCAGGGGCCAACTCCACTGCAGCTAACAATGGCTTGAGAAGAGGGGAAATGACGAGTGACTGGTAATGGGTACGGGGTTTCCTTTTGAGGTGATGAGAATGTTCTGGAACTAGATAGTGGTGGTGGTTGCACAACACTGTGAATATACTAAACGCCACTGAACTGTATGTACACTTCAAAATGGTTAATTTTGTTATGTGAATTTTACCATAGTTTTAAAAAAAAGCGACTGGGCAGGGTAAACTGGGTGGGATCTCTGAAATATCCACACTGAAAGATGCCTGAGACGATGTCCCCTCCCCAAAGTGATTCTTGCTTCTTGGTGCGGAACTTGGGGAATATTTACTGCTTTCACCGGACTTTTCCATTCTGCCTGAATGTGTGTATGATGATGTTGCTGTTGTTGTTAGTTGCCATCGAGTCAACGCCGACTCCTGGCAATCCCATGTGTGCAGAGTAGACTTGCTCTGTACGATTTTCCAACCTGTTACCTTTCGGAAGCAGATCTCCAGGCTTTTCTTTCGAGGGACCTCTTGGCGGGTTCGAACAGCCAACCTTTCAGCTAGTAGTCAAGTGCTTAACTGTTTGTACCACCTAGGGACTAGGGCACATTTGTCAATTTTTTCATTTTCATGCATCATGTTTAAACGATTAATCATAAAGGAATTCTAAAGTAAGAAAACGGGGAAAAAACCACTTCCTTAAAATGTCGTGACTACAAAAGATTAGTGGTTACCGTGGGATGGGGGAGGGGGAAACGGAGAGTGGAAAAAAAAAAACGTCTTGACAGCCGCTCATTATACAGGCAAGTTCTGCCCACGCATCTGCGTGGTCTGAAGATGGGCAGCCTGACGGGGGGCCCCTACTCCCCTTGGGTCTTGACAGGGGTGCCCCAGAGGTGTCTGGGGCTGGGACAAAAAAAAAAAGCAAGTGAGGTATCAGGAGAAATCATATTTATCAGTAACAGTGCCTAACTCAGACATGTTAGAGACTAAGGCAAAAGGAAGAATCAAGACTTTGAAGCTGTCTTTATGTAAAATGTTGATATTTTGGCTCACTGTGGATTTTTTGGCATTTGTTTCAATTTGTTAAAATATCACGTTTAAATAGTATTTATCCTGATGACTGAGTTCTTGGCGCCCCCAGATATTTTGTGCCTGCAGTAAGTGCCTTACTTGCTTACTCTAGTTCAGGGTCCTGATGCTCAGAAAGGCTGAGGGGCTCATGCGTCTGCCCGAGAGGGGGCTTTCCAGGTCCTCAGAAGGACTGGTGTTTTTTTTAAATAGGTTTATTGAGATATAATTCACTTACCATACGGTTTACCCATTTAAAGTGAACAATTCAGTGGCATTTAGTCCATTCACAATATTGTGCAATCACCACCTCTATCTAGTTCCAGAACATTCTCATCACCCCAAACGGAAACGCTGTACCCATTAGAAGTCACCCCCATTTTCCCCTTCCCCGAGCCCTGTTGTTGGTAGGTGCCGTCCGGTCGAATCTGACTCATAGCAACCCAATATGACAGAGCAGAACTGCCCCATAGGGTTTCCTAGGCTGTAATCTTTATGGAAGCAGATCACCAGGTCTTTTCTCCCACGGAGCCACTGGTGGATTTGAACTGCCAGCCTTTCGGTTATCAGCTGAGCACCCCAAGCCCTAGGCAACCACTAATCTACTTTCTGTCTTTATAGATTTGCCTGTTCTGGGAATTTCATTTAATAGAATCACACATATGTGGCCTTTTGTGTCTGGCTTCTCTCACTGAGCATGTTTTCCAGGTTCATCTATACTGTAGCATGTATCAGTGCTTCATTTCTTTTTGCGGCTTGTTATGGATTGAATCGTGTACCCCAAAACATATGGTGAAGTCCTAACTCCCATACCTGTGAATGTGACCTTGTTTGGAAATAACATCTTTGTCCAAAGCTGTTAGCAGTTAATTTAACAAGGTCATACCAAGTATCTGAAAAACCAAAACCTGTTGCCATCGAGTTGATTCCAACTCATAGTGACCCTATAGGACACAGTAGGACTGTCCCATAGGGTTTCCAAGGAGCAGATGGTAGATTCGAACTGCCGACCTTTTGGCTAGCAGCTTAGCTCTTAACCACTGCACCACCAGGGCTCCATACCGAGTACGGTGGGTCCGAATCCCTTCGGAGTGGTGTCTTATAAACAGGGAGAACAGAGGCAGAAACAGAGTCACACACAGAGGGAAGAAAACTCTATGTGACTACCAAAAACTCCAGTTACCATTGAGTCAATTCCAGTTCATAGCAACCCCATGTGCACAGAGTAGAACTGCTCATAGGGTTTTCAGAAGCAGATCGCCAGGCCTTTCTTTCGAGGCACCTCGGGGTAGATTCAAACCTCCAAACTTTTGGTTAGTAGTCGAGCACATAACCATTTAGGCCACCCTGGGACTGGTAGAGCATGTGAAATGCACATAAAAGCAGCCAAGGAACCCAAGAAACACTTGGGATTGACTCAATGGCAACTGGGTTTTTGGTTTTTCACAAGGTATTACACATCTGAGTAATAATATTCCATTGTGTGGATGGACCACATTGTGTTTATCCATTCATCCATTAATCGATACTTGGGTTGTTTCTACCTTTTGACTATCGTGAACAGTGCTGCTATGAACATGTGTGTACAAGTTTCAACGTGGACTTATGTTCTTAGCTTTTTTGGGTCGATACACAGGAGTGGAATTGTTGGATCACATGGTAACTCTGTGCTTTATCGGCTGAGGAACGACCAGGCTATTTTCCACAGCAGCCACCCCCTTCAAAATAGTGACCATTCCTTCTAGCTCATGGTCACTGCTCCCTTCCACCCAAACCCATGGTCCCCTCCTGCATGTCAGGCCCCCAATGGCCCTGCAGACACCTGCACAGGGTACAACCCCCAGCACGACTCTTCTACATCCTGTCTCCCACCAGACTGCTGTTCCTCAAGGTTAGGGGCCAGAGGCCAGAGGTCAGGAGCCAGCTCTGACACCCCGTGGCCTCCCCAACACTGAGCTGGCACTAGGTGACGGCTTGTTCATGGTGGGCAACAACCTGAGCTGACATCTCCCTGCAGCCTGACCTGACTTTCATTAACCCCGAAAACAGCAGGACAAACTTCCTGGTGTGCCCTAAACCCTTCAAACCACGGGGTCTGATCAAACATGAAAAGGAAGCTGGCTGCTACGAACACTGGTTTGCACGGCTGCAAAGCCTCGGAAGACCCTGGGGTTTTGAAAACAACTGCTCTGTGTTCCCCTAAGGGGCCTGGGTGTAGTCAGAACTAAGCAAACTCTGATGCTGGCCAGGTGAGCCAGCCCAAGCTTGGGGTTCTCCCATCACCTGTTCTCTTCTTTAAATAATCAATGAAAATTAAAACACGAACACGCATCCCAAGGAAACTTGTTGTTGTTCTTAGTTGCTGTTGAGTCAGTTCCAACTCATGGCAACCCCACGTGTGCAGAGTAGAACTGTGTGCTCCACACGGTTTTCAGAAGCAGATCACCAGGTCTTTCTTCTGAGGCTCCTCTGAGTGGGTTCAAACCGTCAACCTTTTGGCTAGTAGTCGAGCGCTTAACCATTTGTGCCACCCAGGGATTCCCCAAGGAAATTTAAAGGGACCCAAAGTGTGTCTTCACGAGTTTTTTTTGTTTTGTTTTGTATAAAGGGCCAACCGGTTGTTTTGTTTTGGAGGCTGGGCCCAGGGGTCTGGGGGCACTGGATCCCACCCCGCGGTACTGACCTGGATTTCACGGGCGTGGTACAGGACGACAAGGCCCAGTAGGATGACGGTGGAGAAGCTGATGAGGCATTTCAGTGCAAATGAGTACAGGGACTCCTGGGCAGAGAGAGCAGATGGACAGATGGACAGACGCTGGATGGGGTGGGTGGCCCTCTGCCCCCTGTCCACCCAGGCTCCCTGTTGGCTGTCAGGGAAGGGGCACTAAGTCACCCAAACAAGCTGGGGTCACAGAGCCCCCTCCTTGCTAGGGGTGCCCCCAACACTGAGCCCCGACTTCCTCCCCTGCCAAGTGAGGGGGGCTGGGAGGGAGTGCTAGTTCCTGCATTCCAGGGCTGCTGTGTAGAAAGAGCTTCGCCAGGGCCGGCACGTGGAGGGAGCTCAGAAGCAATACTGAGTCCTTACTCCATGGGGCTGGGTGGATGGCAAGGTGGACCGCACTTCACAGTAAGGCCTGGCCTCCTGCGGCCCTGGCACTTCACAGTTTGTAAGGCCTGGCCTGTTGTGAACTTAGCACTTCACAGTTTCTATAGCCTGGCCTCCTGCAGGACCAGTACTCCACAGTTTACACAGCCTAGCTTCTGTGGGTTCAGCACTTCACAGTTTATACGGCCTTGACTCCTGCAGCTCTGTGGCACTTCACAGTTTACAAGGCCTAGCCTTATGTAGCCCTGGCACTTAACAGTTTATATGACCTGGCCGCCTGAGGCCCCAGCACTTCATAGTGCCTCATGAAGATCCAGCGTGCCACAATTTTATAAGGCTGACTTGGCCCTGATCTCTCCATCCTCACACACCCTGGGTGACCAGTATCCTCCTGGCTCCAACCCCAGGCCTGAATGCTCTTGGAAGGGCACAGAAGCCCTTCCCCTGCCCCCTGCCTTCCAGGGGGCCCCTGTCCTGCACCTACCCTGGGAAGCCTCTCCTGGGGGCAGCCCCTCCTGCAGGGCAGAGGGAATGGCTGGGGCCTCCCTCTCTGTCATAGCCTCCCTGCTGGCCCAGGAGGTGGCATGGCGGCTGCTCAGGACCCCCATCCACGGCCCCACGGCCCGCCACTTGCCTCTCTACTGGGCCACCTGGGACCCCAACCCTGAGTCCAAGTGGCTGCAGGGGAGTCAGGCAGGCCTACAGGGCATCCTTGGGGCACACTGGGACATGGGGAGGTGCCTAGGGCTGTGCCTACCTTGGTGTAGACCCCCCAGGACAGCTCTGTCTCGGTCACCATGACGACGATGCCAAACATGCCAAAGATGAGTGCGTAGTCACTGAGCCGCTTCCGCTTCTCAAAGAGAGCCCGCCGGTGGCCCAGACGGTGGCCTGCGTTCAGGGGCTTCCCTGAGCGCCCCCGCCTGCCTGCCTCATCCTCCTCATCCTTGTCTTCCTCCTTGTCTTCATCTTGGGGCTGTCCCCGGGGGCTGCTGGGCGAGGGCTGGGCTGGCTCACTCTTGGCCACGACCACCTGCAGGCCTGGGCTGTGCAGGGGCTGGGGGGCACGGCCGGCCTCGGGGTCTGTGGGGTCACGGCCCAGGGCCCCTGGCCCGCTGCCCAGCAGCTGCCCCAAACCGCCATTGTGGCTATGGCTGTTCATGACTATCTGGGGGCAGGCGTTGGGCTTGCTGCAGGCCGCCTGGGGCCCGGCATGGCGCAGCGGCTGGGCTCCTGCACTGACCTGCAGGGTCACAGAGAGACATGTTACACCCAGAGGCTAGCCAGGGTCTCACCAACTGACCAGAGGGGCAGAGACCATCACCGAAACTCTAGAACTTTCTAAGGCTCAGAAGCCGTGGGGCTCAAACACAGAGACTTCCGTGTAGTATGCCCAGAGCACTCAGCACATGAGTTTGCCATCCCAGAGGCACGAAAGTCAGCCTCCCCTGCTCAAAACCTTCCTATGGCTCCCCAACACCTCAAGCAAAAGCCAAACTCCTCACAGTGGCCAAGAGGCTCTCCGCAGTCCGCCTTCCACCCACCTCACCCTCTCACTCTCCCCAGACTCACACGGCCCCCACCATGCTGGCCTCCTTGCGATCAGAACTGACAAGCTCAGATCTGCCTCAGGGACTTTGCACGTGCTGTTCCCGCTGCCTGGAGCACCCTCCCAACGATGCCTGAAGTCCCACCTCCTTGAAACCTGACTTGCCAGACCCTCCCCCGCCACACTCAACACCCCCCCACCAGCCCACCATCTCCCACTCTCACACACCACCAGCTGCCACCCAGATGTTTACTGAGCACCTACTACATGCCAGTCCCTGGGTGGTGTAAATAGTTAACGTGTTTGGCTGCTAACCGAAAGGTTAGAAGTTTGAGTCTACCCAGAGGAGCCTTAGAAGAAAGGCCTGGTGATCTACTGAAAAATCAGCCATTGAAAACCTATGGAGCCCAGTTTTACTCTGACACACATGGGGTTGCCATGAGTCGGGGTCAATTCAATGGCAATTGGTTTGGTTTACTATGTGTGAGGCTTAGTTCTTTACACAAATTTTCTCTATAATCTTCACGACACCCCCAAGTGGGGGGTCCTAGGATCTCTCAGCTTTACAGACAGGGAAACTGAGGTCCAGCACTGTGAAGGGACTTGCCAAAGGTATCATTGTCCCCTTAGAGGGAAAATTCTGGAATTCTCCTAACAAGCCAGGTGGGGTAAGCAGTGGGCTAAGTGTTGCTCTCTTGGAAAAGGCCTGGCCAGCATCCTGGGACAGGCGAGATATGATGGCTGTGAGCACAGACCAAGGTACCGCTTGAAACCCTAAAAGCATACCCTGGGGGCAATGGACGCAGAAACCGTCATTGAAGGATGCACCAGGGGAGGTACACGGACCAGCAGGGTGACGGGTGGCCTTGACTGGGGCCACCACCCACATAGCAGGACCGCCTGTGCTCTCGTCCAGCGTCCCCTCTGGACTGTCTGTCTTGTTCACTGTGTGTCGCCAGACGCTAGTGCTGGTGCATATTAGGAGCACAAAACATTCTTTCCGTGGCTGAGTGACCTCATACGTCTTACACCCTGACCCCTATCCAACCCCCACCTACCACACTGACCGCCCATGGCCTCCTACCCCAGCCCCTGCCCAACCCCCAAAAGGTTCCAACTACCAGGCAGGAATGGAAATCTGCCCCAGCCCCTGCCCACACAGGGGGACGAGAAAACCCCAGGCACCCCTCCCACTGTCCCCCCCCAAAGACACAGAAGGTCCCCGCCTGGGGCTGGGGGTGTGCGGACAGGAGAGGCGGATGTCCTGGCAGACAGGACCAGGGAGAAGGGGGGCCGAGGGCCGCTGCAAACGACCTTCTGAAATGCACCGATGAGGATGCAGGATGCAATTTGGGGTGACTCAGCTGGCAGACGCACGGGCCAAATGCCGCTGCCACGTGTCTGCCATGTTCCTCCCTATCTGCTGGCCATGTCCTAAGGTGCCTTGGACAGGGAGGGATTGGGAAGGGGGATGGCCAGCAGGTGGCTTCTGAGAGGGCAGACGGGTGACCACAACCTAAATGCATACCGAGCGCTTCCTATATGCAGAATTATCGCATTTTAATCCCTACTGCAGCCCAGTGAGGCAGCCACACTCCTGTCCCCTTTTTACAGTAGGGAGACAAGCTCAGAGAGGTTCAGCAACTTGCCCAAGGACACAGAGCCAGGGAGGGCAGGGACTAAGTTAGTGTTGCCATGGGGGATGGGGGCATCTGGAGAGGGAGGCAGCCTGGTGCTACCCATGAGGGGTGGTGGGTGCCCCAAAAGGGCTGAGGTGCACCAGGGCCCCAGAAGGACGTGTCCAAGGCCCCACAGGAAAAATAGCAGCTAAAGGCTGGGAGGGACCAGAGGGCCCTGGAGACAAGGGGAGTCCCTTCCCCTCCCCACTGCACCCTGGGCCTAAAGCTGGGGTTCCTGAGACCCTCAGGGGTCCCCAGAGGCCCAGGAGTCCCTCTGAAATCACAGCCAAGGTCTGGCTATCCATAAAGGGGGTATTTTCCTGGGTGAAAGCCCCCAGATTCACCAAGACGTTTCTCCAAAAGGTTAAGTGGATGGGGCTGTGTTTGGTTCTGAGTGTTCCTGGAGCTGCCAAAGGAGTCCCTGGGTGGCCCAAATGGTTAAGTGCTTGGCTACTAACTGAAAGATTGGTGGTTTGAATCTACCCAGAGGCACTGAGGAAGAAAGGCCTGGCAATCTACTTCCAAAAAATCAGCCATTGAAAATCCTGTGGAGCACAGTTCTACTATGACACACATGGAGTTGCCTTGAGTCTGAATTGACTGGAAGGCAACTTGTTTGGGTTTTGTTTGTTTGTTTGGAACTGCCAAAATTGTCTAAAGTTTCTGGGGCACATGACCTCCATTCCCTGAAACTTGGAGTCGGGGGCTGAGTGGAGCCCCCTCTCCAGCCCATCCCAGAAGGCATGAAGTTTTGCATGAATCCTGAGATCCTGGCAGGGGCAGGGGGAACCCCAGAGGGCTCTGGCAGGAAGAAAGGGTGGGAGCAGGGCAGCTGGCTTCTCCCCACCCCACAAGACATTGGAGGAGGAAGAAAGCCAGCCAGGATCCCTCGCCTTGTTACACATGAAGGGTTGAAGCTGCTGACCTGAAACAGACCCTGGTAGGGAACTATGCCACCTCTGAAAGCGGGTGACACTTGATAAGGTTCATAGCCAGATGTCATGGGATCTCACATGGAAGTATTTGCTCAATAGGACATGCTCCTATAGGTTTCACAGCTGTTTCTTTCTGTGCCAGACGAAGAACTCTTCCCATCCTCCCTGCTGCTATTCGGTGCCAGAGGCAGCTCCCTCTATTGGGTGAAATGCCCAGCCCCTCATTCCCAGGAAAGCAGCACTGTGGTAGACCCTTCCCTGGACATATGGGCCTATTGTAGGTCCCAGCCACCGCCATGAGGCCATGTGTCCCTGTACAGGGTGGGCGAGGTCCCCGAGACCTCCCAGCAATGTCGGGGCCTGGGGGCACCAGGCAGACAGGCTCCCCTCTCCCTTCCCCCCATGGGCTGTTGTGGAGGGGGTGCAGGAGGCGCTGGTTGCTCCCCCCCACTGCCCGCATCACGAATCTGCCAGTGGGTGCAAGGGTCGCTAAGAGTCGGAATCGACTCAAAGACAACGGGTTTGGTTTTTGGTTTTTTGGTCCCCCCACTGCCCGTCCAATCCCATCTCCGGGACTCACACCTGCTGCCCTGTCCCCAGGACAAAGTCCTGGCCTCTTTGAGTCCAGGAGGGCTGGGAGACCGGGTCCCTGAGCCCTGCCCTTTCAGGGCGCCCCTAACCCCCCTATTCGAGGTCAGTGGTGCGGGTCTCTGCTCCGACTCCCCTCTCTGCAAGTCAGTCCCGGCACTGTTCCTGTCCTGAGAGCCACCCCCACCCCGCCCCGTTTCTGTGGAGTTTGCAGACTCGCTGCTCGGTCCCCTCTCAGTGAACCCTGTTATATCCCCATCCTGCGGGGGTCCCCAAATCCTTACGCAGGCAGGGTCCTCCCCACACCCCACTGTTCCCTGGGGTTCCTACCTCATGGAGAACCCCCCTCCTGCCCCGGACGCCTCCCCGGGCGCCGCGGGCAGCGGCCCAGGACCCCCGCGTCCACACCCCTTACCTGCCGGGCTCGGCCCGGGCGGGCGAACGAGGTTGGTGGGCACAGGGTCCCTCGCGGCCGGGGACCCCTGGGCCGGGGTTGGGGTCGAAGCCGGGGCGGGCCAAGCGCCGGACTCGGGAGCCGCCC